GTGTGTGTGTGTGTGTGTGTGTGTGTGTGTGTGTGTGTGAATGCACATGCACTTTACATTGGCATTCTATTATGAGAAATATTTGGCTGTGAAAGGAGAGTATATGGTGTTCGATGTAGTGATTGAAATAGCCTTGCTTTCTCACAGCCTCAGAACTCTCACAGCACTTTGCTCAAACTACTTTCTGGCCTTTAAAATTTTACCTTCCACTACAGACATCTGTGTGGGCCTCACCTCCCTATTGGACAGTCAGGGCTCAGCAGGCAGAGGTTATTTTGTTCCTAGCTTGGGGCTTAGGGAATAGTAGGTGCTCAGCGACTGTGTGAGGAAAGAACGAATGAATGAGACCAGTGTCCTCGGCATTCTGATCCTACCCCCAGTGCGTGCCAAGCTTGAATCACTTCTGAACAAATTCTCCGAGACAGGTAATCAATCACTGTCCACAGACCACTTTCCCTGAAGCAGCCTGTGAACAATGCTCTGTGAAGATCCCTGAATTCCCTCCTGGAGCCACTGCAGTTTACCCTGTGGATTTGGGGACTTGCCCCTCCCCCTCCCCTTTACCCAGCCTTTCAATGGAAATGTCTGATAGGCATGCCTCCAGATCCCCTCTGGGTACCGCCTGTACCCTTTCCCCCTTTTTCTCTTGGAAAAGTCAGGTTCAGGGTATTTCCTAGGCCCTGACCTATACCCCCTGAGCAAAGAAACCACATTCATGCTTAGGGAGGGGTCCTATATTTTGGAGAGCAGGGGCATTAAGAAATCCTCTCTCCCTTTCTGTGCTGATGTGGAGTGTTGACCGAAAAATGGTGCTGTTGTCTGGGGGCCTAGCCCTGGGGGATAGAAGGAGCTGGCCCCTGCGTTTGTTTGTGAATGGCTCGGACCTTTTGATGAATTGGGAGTCTGGTACAGCGTAACCTCTCGTGGGTGGTGGTTCAAGGAAAAGGCCTTTTCTTTCCGTGTCCTTTTTTCCAGGGTGTTTTAGTGGATTTGTAGGCTTTAGTGAGTGACTCTTTTGTTTAATAGGAAGTTGAGAAAGGCATTAAGGACTTTTCTAGCCCATGGAAACAATTTAGTGATCCTCAAAAATACAGCTTATTTCTGTACTTTTAAAATACAAGTTTAATGGTCCTTAACTGTGGTGACCTTGTGCTGAGAGGCGGACTTGAGTTTTCTTACTCTGCCCCCTTGTGAGCTCAGTATTCTCCTCTGGGTTACATTAGGAACTAGGCATCAGTTCTGAGTGTTTGAACTAGTTTATGGGGATGAAATCATCTCTGTAATGTGTGTATGAATATGTACGTATAAGCACACACACCCCAACTTCTTAGTAAGAAAACAGGCCAAGAGAGAAAAAGTGTGTGTGTGTGTGTGTGTGTGTGTGTGTGTGTGTGTGTGTATTTGGCCTATTAACACATTTTCTTATTGAAAACTTTTTTTGAGGAGGCCAGTATTCCCTAGTAAGTGTTCTGTGAGCTGATGGCTGATGGTACCGGCACATGAAAACAGAATTTAGAAGCTTGTGGTGTTCTCTACTTAAATTTTAAAAAGAAAAAAAAAAAAAAAAAAAAAAAAAAAAAAAAAACACGCTCTTTTTGATGGGACTATCCTCAGCATTAATATAAAACCAACAGGCAATTATCAGGAGTGAAAAGGCATCTGAGAAAGAGCCATATTTCCACCGTGGGCCAACGCTTTATTTTGCTTCTGTTGAGTCAACACTGCTTAAAACGGTGTGGTAAGTTAACTGGAGAGTGGGGACTGTAGGTAGCCAAACCAGGTAATTTATTTAAAAAAAAAAAAATCTAGGTAGCTTATACAAGCTTACTCATCTGTCTCCTCTGTGGATTGAACCTGAAAGGGTAGGCTTATGCTTAGTTAAAATTTTGGCAACTGTCCCCACCCCTGCTCCACTAGGAGAGGGAGTGATAATTTCACACGCTTTCTTGAATATTCATAAAGTTTTCATTGGCGTTGAATTTAGCCTCATCCTAAGCTTAACTGGGTTAAGTTTTTCAGAGCTCTTTGAAAAGTAGAGAGAGGTGGATATGCCTTCAGTCCCTTATTTTCATTTCCTCTATTGTGTGCGGGCTTTGTTTTACGGTCTCACTCTTACTGTCCTCTTATCTGCTTTTTGTCTGGGAACCAGGAGGCACGGGCCAGGGGGCAGTGGTGCTCCTGCTATTATCACCCTTGCAAAAGCTGCACTGTGGGGTGTTGGATCAGGAGACTTCGGTACCACACTGTGCCTGTCGTTCTGCAATTTGCAGAATGTTTCACAGCCCTGCCCTCCACCTGTTAACTGCCAACGGGGATCCCAGGAACAGAGGCACCTAACAATTGGCTTCACGTATTTCCGCATCCCCTTTCCGGACCAGGCAAAGAAAGTATGCCTTCCCTAGGAAGGCAGAGGAAGACGTGCCTTTTGCTAGTATTCAGAGAGCGAACCCTACTAGAATGACGGCAGCATCTTCAGATGACATAAGGGTTTTGCCTTCACATGGCCTTTAAGTGACCCGCTAGGACCGTCCAATGTTCACATGCTTGACATTTGAAGCATAGTGTGTCAGGAATCTGAATCAAGTCTTTGAGTGTATTTTTACCTTGTGTCCAACTGACGCCGTGAGGTGTAACAGGCTCTGAACACAAAACTGCCGGCTACTTTACATGGAACTGGGAAATGCCCAGCTTTCTGTTGGAGTTCAGGGGAAAAGTACCTAGTTCCATATGATCATTTGCAAATGTCTTTGAATAGTAAGTCAGTAATAGTAATCTTAAAATGAAATAATCTCTTACCAGGCCTTGCAGAAAGTAGTGAGGTCTGGCATGATCACCACTGTGTTTATATACACTCTTAAATTTTGTAGTTCAGATTCACGCACAAGAAGAAAACTCACATGTAAAGTATTATTGCAGCCCTTAGGTGGACTGAACGTATTGTGTTGCTTGGGGATACAAGGATATTTATATAGAATGGAGATACAAAGAAAACGACTCTCCCCGATAAAAATTATTTGAATGTGTGAAAAGAAAACCAACTAGAATGTTGTGATTTTCCAGACCATTTAAAAATATGCATTGTTTATAAACACAGTTTTAAAAGCCAATATACACAAACATCTCAAAAATTATCCAGAGGCAGAGCAGAATTATTTGGGATGTGTTGTAATTCTAAAAAAAGGCAGCTTTTACTGTAGTAGAGCAAAAAGGGAGAAGAAAGAACTGTACTGCTGACTTTTTCCTGATTTTCTAAACAGGCTGCTTTTGACTTGTAGAAAAATATATACCCAGTTTTGCAGTCAATCTCTTTGCCGTTAGAGTTTTTCCTTTCAGGATTTTAGGGGGCAGTTGTTTTAAATTGCAGTGGAAGAGGGGGCGCCTGGGTGGCCCATTTGGTTGGGCATCCGACTTCAGCTCAGATCATGATCTCACGTTTTGTGGGTTCGAGCCCCGCGTCGGGCTCTGTGCTGACAGCTCAGAGCCTGGAGCCTGCTTCAGATTCTGTGTCTCCTTCTCTCTCTGCCTCTCCCCCACTTGTGCTCTGTCTCTCTCTGTCTCTCAAAAATAAATCAATGAAAAAATTTTTTTTTAAATTGCAGTGGAAGACTTTCTGGAAAGGTAAAGATGACCATGTCAACGAAACCCCGGATCCCTTCTTATTCCAATTTAACTTTTCTTTTCTTTTCTTTTCTTTTCTTTTCTTTTCTTTTCTTTTCTTTTCTTTTCTTTTCTTTTCTTTTCTTTTCTTTTCTTTTCTTTTCTTTTCTTTTCTTTTCCTTTCTTTTCTTTTCTCCTTTCATTGCTTTTCTCTTCAGTGTGTTCTTACTGGGAGCAGGTAAAAAGGCAGAGTTTGCTGCCTTCAGCATGTCTTCTGAGGTTGTCCTCAGTTAGAAATAAGTCAGCTGATTTGGTTCCATTTAATACTTCCTGAGAATCTCTGTCCTAGCTCTTTGTTAACCACATGCATGCCAAATACACTTTTTTTTTTTAGAGATAGAGTGTGCCCTGCAAAAAAAGAAACAAAAATATCATGCTCCATGGGAGCAAGAAGAGGAGGACCTGAATACACACTCTCAGGCACAGACACACACGCTGTGGTGACTTTTTCAGCGCTGCACCTCGAGTGCCCAACACTGATGCTTTTAGCAAATACGTTCTGAACTATTGAACCCGTCGATAGGAAAGCTGTAAGGCAGGACTGTGCAAAACATAAGTAGAAATTAGCCAGCAACTTTGAAAAGAGGCCTCGTATCCAAAGAAACATATGGAAAACTTAAAAAAAAAAAAAAAAAGAGGAATCTAACATATGAAAACCCAGTCCCACTGGAATGTTTTTTCATACACAGTATAAACGCCACATAAATAAAACCGCAAAGCTCTGCAGGCGTACATGAGTGGACGTGAGCCCCCAGCACCCTCCTGTTCGGGCCTCCGATGGGGAGTAAAGCCTGGGTGAGTTTCCAGAGACAAAAACTGTTTGGAAATCCTTCCTCCTGGGAACGGGGGCCCTGGTTCCAAGGAGACTTTGGCCAGTCCCTTAGCGTAGCCTGACGCAGTGTGTGAAACAGTCCTCCTTAAGTCTGTGATTCAGGTTGTAAGACTCTGAACTTTGGGGATACCGGTGGATGGCAAACATGTTTTAAGGACAAAGATTTTCCGGTTTGAGCCGAAGAGTAAGAAGTAACTGTAGCGGTACGTGTAAAGTTTAGGACTTCCGGGGGAAAGAGTACTGGCCGTTCACTGCCCAGCAGCACACCCCCTTCTCGCCACGTCCTGGTGAAATTTTCACTTAGGAGGTACGGTCCCACTGTTGGTCTTGTTCCCTGTGTAAATCTCTGGTTCGAAAACTTTGCGGCATTCAAGGCGTGTCAAGCTTGAGGGCTGAAATGTCACTTTAAAAGCGGGGGTTAAAAAGGTCACACAGCTGCAAATAATAATAGCCCAATGAAATTCAGATTCTAGCTGCAGCCCACTTCAAGAATAACACTGAGACAGGAAACAAGCCTACTAGATATTTTTTCCCAGTAAGGCTAGGAAGACTACAGCTGATAAAATGTGTGTATGCACACGTGGTCATGTGCGTGTGTGTGTGTGTGTGTGTGTGTGTGTGTGCGTGCACGTGTGTGTATGAGACAGAGAGACAGACACACAAAGAGAGATGGAGAAAGACATATAAGACAAGCCAGAGACACAGAGAAATAGGCACACAAAGAGAAAGAGTTTTAGACAGCGAGATACAGGAAGAAAAGAGAGACCTACACAGAAAGGCAGAAAGGGATACAAGGACACACTCACAAAATAACTGATTTTCTTGGACTTAAATTCAAGGGTGTTTATTTTTCTATTTGACAGTATGATATTAAGGTTAGAAAACTAGAGGTATATTGGAAATAATTAGCTTCCACAAATTGTTTTTTCATATGGTATCTCTTTGATTGGTCTGATTTTACAATGTTTTCCTAAATGGTCATGTTTTATAGATGAGCAAAGGAGATAGTGAAAGGTACAATATCCTTCACAAAGAAAGAAAGTCTTAGCCCCACACTGGATATAAAATTCTCTTCCAGGAGCTAGCCGTGTGTTGGGAAAACCATCCTGCCTCCTTGAATTTCTGTTGGGTTATTATTATATGTGGCTCTTTGCCTTTCTGACCAATATGTTGAGAGAAATACTTGTTTTTTTCAGAAGCATGAAGTACATATTGGCTATGCACTTAACTAATGTAGTTAATGAGCAACTTTTGTTTCCAGAAACAAAGACTGATCTGCTCTCACACAGCTTGACTAACTCAAGATGCTCCTGTTTGTTAGCTGTCCTCAGCACTGTAGGAAGGACCTATTTTCCCTTCTAGAACCTTTTTGGCAATCTTGTAAGCTCAGCAAGGTAGCGAGGTCTCTTTCACATGAGTCCTGTCCAGAAGGCTCTTTCCACACTCGCAGTAGGCCAATAAATGTCGACAGATGTTATTAACTTCATATTAAAATTCCGGCCCCCCCTTCAGATCTATAATCCATTCATGGTCAGATTAACAATGTCAGAGCTGATGGGGACATATCAATATTGTCATTAGTGCTCATTTGTATGTACAACTTCAGTTTGCATTTTTGAAGCTCCCATAACTTTCGGCGTTGATAAAAGTGCATACAGATTTTCAGATGAAAACAACGTTGTTAGTGTCTTGATATTTCAAATCCTGTGTCACTGTATGAATCTGTCTGCTGTTACTGGAAGAAATTTGTTCCATTCTAAGATTAGAGACCTGAGATTGGAGTTTGGTGTTAACTAAGGATCAGTATCAGCTTCCTATGATTCAGACAGGGAAGCATCACTCTTGGCTGATTATAGCAAACTTCGTTGATGTAGGTTTTTTCCCTTTGAGCTCGGTTGTTGCCCTTGCTTAAAATACATATTTATAGAAATTTGTGTAGACTGTCCAAGTTTTTGGTAACATTTGTTTTTTTGCAATATTTGCCTTTCATGAAATGGTAATTCCAAGTATATCTCTAAATGCCTGGCAAAGCATTTGAATGGATTGCATCAGCCATTGTGGAAGATTTCCCATTTTAGACCAGGAGGAATTTGTGGGGTCAAACACTGAACAATGAAAGAGATTCTTGCTCATTTCAAGGCTGAGGAATCCAGTGGCAGTTGAGGGTTTGAATTGTAAATCAAGCCTGTCATCTCCTTGTCAACTGGGAAAAACTTCTACTCACTTTATGTACTATTAGGGTTTGTTATTAGGGTTTTGTGTTGTTTTCCAAAAATTTGAAGGGAAATTAGACTCATAAGGCATTTGTTCTAAGTGAACATTGAATCTGAACTTTGGAGAAGAGGAACAAAAAATAGAGCTGTTTAGAAACTCCTAAATGATTAGATAGTGTCTGCCACAATTATGACTGTATCTAACCAAATTTATGGGGTCACTCAGTGTTTCTCAACGGGTGCTCTGTAGGGATCATAAGTAGCCAGCACATGGCTAAGAGACTGGTCTTCAGTGGCGTCACTGTCTATGGCAATATTAACAGACCGAACTTAGAGTGAATTAAGACGCTTACATGTGAAATTTAATGGAAACTAGCCTCATCTCAGTGTTTTCACCAAAAGCAACTTTGACATCTTTTTTCATGAAGTCTGGTGAACTGTCTTCCCTGGCCATAACTGAGAACGAGTGGAACAAGGGGTCTGCACAACCTCTCGCCTTGCTGAAAATTTGGTTCTGGGCCCAAAAGTTTGAGAACCACTGCCTTAGGAGTAGAGAAAAGGCAAGCTGTTTGGGGTGGTTTATGATGATGATTCAGGATTCATTATCCATTCCACAAATATTTATTGAACGCCTACCATGTCAACTCTACACAGTGGAGCCTGGGGTATGGCGACTGCCAAACAAAACTGGGTTCATTAAAATGTCCCAGCTGGTAAAACAGCAGAATGGGAAATAAGAGGTTGAGGCATGACTTCGGAGGCCCTAATGCAGAGCAAGCTGGCTAAAATCATGTCTGAGTGATTTGCCCCACTCAGTGGATGATAAGAAGAAAAAGATTTGCGGGGCTTTCGTAGGAGTCCGTTGGAGAGAATAGCGATCACACTCTTTGCTGGAAGAGAACCATAATAATAGACCATAAAAAGAGACCTGGTTCTTCACTAATACATCAGACCAGATCGTACTAGTTGATAAAAGTAATGAAGCCCGTGTGGCAGAGCGGTACCATTTAGTAAAACCATCACAAACACCCACACAGCAAGCAATGAGCAAGGGCGTGCTGTTTGCCGAGGGTTGAATGTGGGAACTGCAGTGCGTCAAAATAAAGCAGTTGAGGTTCACACACTTCTGTATACACACCCACTCACCGTAGACTTTATTAATCACTTAAGCCTATTTTATTTTAGCAACTGCCATTTTACCCTAGGACTTTCATTCCGGCACCGTGTTGCCAAAACATTTGGGCTGTGGGATCCGTAGCATATGATAAATTAGTACAGCTTCATTCATGTTTAAAACATAGAATGATAAAATGACAGTAGCAACTCAGTTGAATATACTGCTGACTGACATCTAAACTATTTGAAGGCAACCTGTATTTCTCTGATTAATCATATGGCTGTAAACGTAACATCCATACCATGATGGCTCAATAAGACAGAGTAAATCTCTACAGCTGGGGCCTATTCCGCCTTCAAGCATCCACACCATAGTCTAAGTCCGTGGCATCTGCTGCAGCTCCTATGCACGTTACCCATTGGTCATGGCACATTGTAGCCAACAATTAAGATAAAATAGCTCATGCTGATACCAACCAGAATTGCTAGATTATTCCCATTGTAGGCTTGAACTTACGGAGAAAGTCGGCATTTTGGTGAACCAGCGTGTGGGGTAGAGTTGTGATTATGGTAGAAAAATACTTTCTTCTCATACGTACCTGGCAGGGCTTGGCCCACCTCTCTCCTCACTTTGGCTTTTTAATGGATTTAATTTTTTTTCAACGTTTTTTTATTTATTTTTGGGACAGAGAGAGACAGAGCATGAACGGGGAAGGGGCAGAGAGAGAGGGAGACACAGAATGGGAAGCAGGCTCCAGGCTCTGAGCCATCAGCCCAGAGCCCACGCCTGGGCCGAACTCACGGACCGGACGCAGAGATCGTCGTGACCTGGCTGAAGTCGGACGCTTAACCGACTGCGCCACCCAGGCGCCCCAACTTTGGCTTTTTAATGAATCTCTTTCAACCTTCAGTAGTGGCACTTCCAATCTTGACCACTGCTATTAGTTGGACGTTAATCTAATTATCATCACTAATTACTACTTCTGGACGTATGCCGTAAATGCGTTTATATGGAGCTTTCCCTTTTTACTGTCAGATAATCTTAGTATTGGTTTTCTTTTGTTGTATTGGCATTCTTTTGTTACCTTAGCGACTAAAAGTCTTAGGTGGCATCCAAGGAAGACTCACCTTATAGCAGATTCTCCTTTATAAGTAGAGAATAGTTACTGTTATGGTGAGGATTAAGTAACACTTGTCCACAGAACCTCCCCCACCAGCCACCTCCAAACACACACACACACACACACACACACACACACACACACACACACACACCACACACACACCCTTAAATACAGAGACCTTTCGGGGCGCCTGGGTGGCGCAGTCAGTTGGGCATCCGACTTCAGCCAGGTCACGATCTCGCGGTCCGTGAGTTCGAGCCCCGCGTCAGGCTCTGGGCTGATGGCTCGGAGCCTGGAGCCTGTTTCCGATTTTGTGTCTCCCTCTCTCTCTGCCTCTCCCCCGTTCATGCTCTGTCTCTCTCTGTCCCAAAAATAAATAAAAAAAACGTTGAAAAAAAAAATAAATACAGAGACCTTTCTCCATAATTTGGGCATGTCTTACAGGCCTCCTCACTGATCAGTGTGATACAGGAATGAAGGAGCCGAAGATTATGTTCATAGCCTTATTGTAAAGAGGGGGAATTGAGGCCTGAAGCAATTAAATGACCCAGCCCCAGTTAGGCAGATCATGGTCACAGAGACAGAAAAGTTCCAGGAAGGCATTTAAAAATTTACTAGAAAGACAAAGCATATTTAATTAATGGATAACTCAATTACTCTGTTGTTTTTTTCTATCTTGGATCAAAACTACTTTCTCACCCTTTATTTTGAGGCTTAGAAGTAAATCAGCATTCACAGGGGACAGAAGGGATGCTCTGTGATAAGTGATTTGAGAAGTCATTTTAATTGCTCATGACTTTCCTCAGACGGGGACAAGTGGAAAGCTCCTAAAGATACTTGTTTTTTTACTTCTCATTCCACATATAATAGAGTAAAATCATTTAAGCAATACATCTGACCCAGGAAAGCTATAAAATGATGCTAAGTTGCTGCGTTGGTAAATGACCAGTGGGCAGTCAATCCAGACACAGATCGGAAAGGGTATTTACTGAGTGAAAATTGTATGAAGAGGAAGCAGTGTGAAGAAGAATTTGCATTTGTAAATTTGTTTTGTTTTTTAGTATCTGACCAGGAGTGTTGCCTAAGGCAAGTCTTTTCGCTTGGTATTTCAGAAAAGTGAAAGCGTGCACCTGTTTCCCAAAGAATAGATATGAAGTCTGTTAGTGTTTGGGGCAAGGGTATAGTGACAGACAGATTAGCGTTGGGTTTTTTTGCAAGATAATAAAGCTTCCTTGGACAAAGGGTAACTATTTCTTGAGTAGAAGCAGAGTTCCCTCTTTCAAGGGTGAAGGTGACTTGGGACTCCTTTGGTATCACCTGCAGGTACCATTTTAAGGAAGCAAGTTCCTTCCTGTGCTTCAGAGATAAAGCAATAGGCTTTAGTCCATGAGTCCCTGAGAGAGCCACGTCCCGCCAGCAGCACACGTAGCTTATTTAAACTCAACTCTAAAATAGGCAAGAAAGAAAAGTGTGACTTAGAAGACGGTTTAAATTGTGAAACTTAAATTTGCATAGTACTTCACGATGTCTAAAAAATTTTTATGTTGCTGTATAGATCGGTAACCACAAAACCACGTGTATGTACTTTTATCGGGTTGGGGGAGGATTTGTCAAGGTGATTTTGATTATGCTCAAGTTTTGCCTCATAAGCTTACCTCAGAACCTCACCCCTACATAAGAAAAGACCCACACTCGAATTTAACCTATGCCTGAGACCGTAACGTAAGATTTCTCCCCACAAAGCTACCTTACGCCAGATAACAGCTGCAGATCAGATGGGCGATGGCCTTAATGTAATATTGATTTCAAATCAGCCTGTGCAACCAAATTAACAAAATATCCCAGGTGACGTTTTCCGTCTTTTCTTATTTCTGTTTCTCCCTGCATAACTCGGGTACTTTTTGTTGAGGCATCCGTGAATGCCTGAGATGAAAGGGAATTTAAGATCATGGCTCCCCACTGGGGTCATTTGCTGAGCTGGCTGCAGGGCTATTTTGCATCCTGTGGCTGTCCTGAAGCTTGGTGGGGTGATCATGGGTGAATTATGTGACTGCTGCTCAGGGTTGGTCACCACACTGGTGACACCCCCATTCGCTTCCTCCTCTCCCGCCAACTCCAAAGGGCAGGTGTGAACTTTACTTTGGAATCTTCTTGCGCAGGTGCGGTCTTACCAGGCAATAACATAGTCCAGGTGGTTTTCCAGAGGCAGAATCTCTGCTGCACAGCCCCATGGCATTTTTCTTCAAAGTACAATAAATACGCACTCAAGCGAACAATAGGAAGGCAGACTGCAGGAAGCCTGATGAACTTCAGCGGGACCTGTGCTCACGTTAACGTTTATCTTGTCTAATTTGGGGATTGGCATTGCAAGGGGCTCCGAGCAATCGCCTTTCTCATGTTTCTTAGGTAGAAGCAGGAGATATTCATGGCTTTCTGTTTTCCTTCCTCCCTCTCCCCGTGACCCTTCAGATTTATGAGGAATCCAAGATGAATTTGGAGCAGGAGAGGCCGTTTGTCTGCAGTGCCCCAGGCTGTTCGCAGGTGAGTGTGAGAATCCTTTGGTCTGTTTTGCCAGAGACTACCTGCCTTCTGACAGGAAAGCAGCTCTCACTTGCCAATCATGCCTGCTGTGGGTTTGCTTTCTTCACCAAGATGTCGTCAAAGCCCCCGTCACCATCCCCACCCCCCATCATCTTCCTCATCATTATTATTTTCTACTTTGAATAGTTTGAACTACTTCCCTCAAAGCCCCGTGAAATACATCAGCATTGGCCTCTTCCATCCTTAACTTTCCCCCTGGAAGTAAGCCAGACGCATCCTGCCCACCAGATGTTCAGGACTGTTATTTCAGAAAGGGGAGGGAGGACGCTGCTTTTACAATAGTCACTTGATATGGGGCCTTTGGATTACTGGTGGAATAGCTCACCATCAGAGCCGAATTCTGTTTTGTTTTGTTTTCCTCTTTGAGTAAAATAAACCCCCTATAACTCTTCTAGAACCCACAGTTTTTCCACTTATCTAAACCTCAAGAGGGGAGATTAAACATCAAACCTCTTTGCCTCCAATGGCTCCCATCAGGCAGAATCGTTGTGAGGATTAGATGAGATACTGCATGTAGAGTATTTAGTATAGGGCCTGCACATAATAGGTGCTCTATTAATGTTCACCGTTGTTGCTACTACTGCTGTTGTAATTACGGACCGTGTGGCAGGATTTCCCAAGCTTGGCACTATTAGCACTTGGGGCTGAATGATTCTTCGTTGTGAGGGCTGTCCTGTGCGTGACAGGATGTTCGGCAGCCTCCCTGACCTCTCCCTTGGGGGCGAGGTCCCCTTGGGAGCCACCATGGCCCCCGGTTGAGAATGACTGCCCGATGGTTTGCGTTTTTGGCTTTAGCTTTGTTTCTTTTTGGACCTCTTCCCTTTCGGGTGTCCCCTGATTCTCGCTGATGCTCTCCCAGCCCGTTTTATGTGTTGCTATGAGCCGTCTTTTCTCCTTTTTGGAATCAGGCAGGGTATAAATAAATAATGCCACAGACGTGTGGTCACCGGTGTCAGACGCTGCTAGAGCCGGGGCAGTGAGAGGCTGAGCAGAGGCTGTTGGGTTTGGCTGTTGGGTTCTGGCGGGTGACCTATGAAAGAGGAGTCCGGGCGGGGACCAGGTTGGAAGGGATTAACGAGTGAGTGGGTGGTGAGGCAGTGGAGGTGGCCAGCATAGAGGACTCTTTCAAGAGCACCAGGGCATGACGGGAAACAGAGTGATATAATGGTAGCCTGAGAAGGAAGCAGCCTGAGAGAGGTTCTTTTTAAGCGAGAGGCTAGCCAGGCGGGGTTTAGTCTAGGACGCTGGTAGTGAAGGTTGAAGAGGTGAATTTCCAGTGACCTTGAACTCAGTGAAGGAGCAGCCTTCTCCCCTGAGAAGGCTGAGTGGACCGGTTGGACAAAATGAGGCTTGAGGATTTCCATAGTTTCTAGGTTGCCCGGTGAAACTCCAAGCCTTCCCCCTCAACCCCTTGCCAAAGTTAAACGTAAAGATGCATCTGAAACTTGATGTTTTTATTTAATGTGTTTCTTTCTCTTGATAGGCTGTTTAAAAAAAAAAAAAATATGCGCAGCTTTCAGCTGAAGACGTGTTAGAATTGAGGAAATGTCATAGTTCCCTAGTGGTTCCAAGGGTCTCCCGGCGGAGTGTTAGCCAATCACGGTCAAGTCAATTGTTGTGATCATGGCATTTACGGTAATGACCGTCCAGAGCCTGGGAACCTGCATAGAGAAGAAAGGATGGCCAGGGATTGGAAAGGGGAGAGTAAATATGAGTTACCAGTGCTTGTGCTGCATTGGGGGTGATGTTTCCCCCTTTTCCCCTCAACGGAAAGAAACTTTGCTGCATTAGGAATGGTCTACAATACCTGGGAGGTTTTTTGTGTTACGGCTCCGTATACATTAGCTTTGTCCCAGAAGTCAAGAGAAACAAGCTTCTTTTGCTCTTTCTGATCTCACAGATTCCATTGTTAATTTCACTGCCCCTTTGCCCTCAGCATGAACATGTTTTGAGTTCCAGTGGCTTCTCTCAGCTGTGTACCTGTTGTAGACTCTACATTTTGGTTATTTACAATTTGTGCTATATTCCTGGTAAATTAAAAAAAAAAAAAAAAACCCACGATGCCCTGTATTGTCTCTTTGGGGAGGGGTTTATAGTTAACATGGCATACTATGGAGATTATTGTCACTTAATAAGTATTGTGGTTAATATTCTATTATGGGCTGTTATTTTATGGAGCCAAAAAATGGCTTACAAATACGAAGTAAAGGCTATTGCCATGTTGTTTGTTGATTATATATATCACAGTAAAAATTAAAGTAAGGATTTTAGCAGAAAGACTAAGAAGTTTACCCTGTCTATAAACCACACATGGTAGTGTACCATATTGTAAGGTGTTATAAAGGACCAAGAAAATAGATGAAACTTCATCAAAAACCCCTGTTGTTACAAATCAAACTTCTATGTAGTTAGAAATCTGACATAATTACCATGCTTTGCTGATTCTAAATGCGCCAATATATATGATACAAATAACAAATAAAGAAATGATTTGTATTCCCCAAACTACTTTTATTCCAAAGGATTTAGTGCAGTGAATTCCCTCATTCATATGAACCCAAATCTATACACGTTGCAAAGAAGATGCCTACCACGGTATGCAATAGTGATCGAAACTTAAAATGACTATCCCAAGGGACTGGGAAGCTCCAAGAGATTTTCTAAATTGTCAAAGATTCGGAAATGTTCAGCAGAGTTTATTGCCTTTGGTTGTATTTTCATTTGACTTTGGTAAAGCAGACACTTTGTTAAGTTCAGTTATCAAAAACATACCAGTCTGAGTCAGGGGAGGCTAGGATCTGCTCCAATAACAAATTATCCCGAAGCTTCAATGGCTTAAACCAACAATCGCTAATTTCAATTGCGCAAGCATCCATTTCTGTCGGAGCTTGGCAGGACATTCTTCATAATCTTTTAGAATTCAAAAATGCTCTTCATATTCCTGCAGAGATTTAGGAAGATTGAGGAGCCACTATTTCTTATATTGTAAGTTGCCAGACTAAAGGGGAGATGGTCTTGCACCACGAATTAGTTGCTGACATATGAGTAATGTGTCATTTCCATTCATGACTCCATGGGCAGAACGAGTCACATGGCCCCACCCAACCACAAGAGGGCCAGGAAATCCAGTCCCACTATATGACTAGAAGCCAGACAGCTGAAAACATTTGAGAGCTGCATTTTTGATAACCATAACATCATTCTTTGAAAATTAATAATAAAGTGTTGGTTTACGATACTGTACAGAGTATAGAATCCTAAAAATGATTTGCCATGTTACTATAAGTCATATATATATACTTATAAAAGATCATATAATGAGTGTGCAAGGTCGTCATCAACAGAAACGTTCCAAACAAATGGCATGTGCACATTTGTAGGTGTATGTATCAAATAGTTGAGCATGATGTGGAATTCCTTCCCAATGTCTGACATGAATCAAAATTCTTTTCCTACTTCATGCATTTCTCCTACTTTTGGTTAATCTATAGATAATGTGTAGCATACTTATTATGCCTTAGACTTAATTTTAGACAAAAGTTCCAAATAGTTTTGCGAAACTCTGGGGCTACTTAGGTCTAAATTCATTTTTTTTTTCTACTTTGGACATGTTATTCTCCCACGTAGAGGTAGAAATGAGAGAATTTTACTTGGCTTCTTTGGGAACATAAACATTGAACATTCATTCAAACACTCGAATTCTTTGAAGGTATAGCATATTTCTATTGTATATATTACTTGAATACTTTCAATATTGTCCATTTCTTCTTTCTCATTGATTCTTTAAACACAAAGTTAGGGTCTTCCTTCAGATGCAAACCTCTAGTTCCTAAGGAAATATCTAATTTACTGATGAGTCATGACAGTTGACTATATTCGAAGACTATCTAGGAAGTAGAGGTTTTTAAAAGGAATTCCCAGAGAAGGAACGGGGAGCCAGAGATGATGGCAGGCAAAGGTCTCTATTTCTTATTACTCTTAAGCCAGATTTTACTGCAACCTAGTTAAGCCCCCGGTAAACTATAATGGCAATAATGATGCATATATTTGGGTGCAATTCAAAGGAACATCTCTGCCCATTTGCTTGCAAAAAATAATTTGTCATTTAACTTAGCATGCTTTCACACTTTTTCAGAACTAATTTTTTGTTTTGCCTGTCACATATGCAATGCTGAATACATCTCTTTCTCTGTGATGGCAAATATATGTTATAAAACTAAATGGCTCCTCTCCCCTCTTCCCACCCCCCCCTTTTTTTTCTATTTGTCTGACAGCGCTTCCCAACAGAGGACCATCTGATGATTCATAGGCACAAGCATGAAATGACTTTGAAGTTTCCCTCAATAAAAACAGACAGTATGTTATCAGGTAAGGAGCCATCAAGCAAAAAGGCTTTGGGTGAACAGCATCAGCCGCACGGGAGATACTTGTTCAACTTAGGATAGTTTCCAATGGCAAATGCCGTGCCTTGAAGACATATATTTCTAAGGTACAGCAGAGACTTAAAATAATGGTAAGCAAAAATGTAATCAGCTAATGTGGTGTTCACTCAAATAACTGGAGAGCTGGGACTTCTCATTTTCAGGAACGTAAAATGTTTATTACTATGAAAGTTGGCTCCATCTAAGTATTTTAAAAATCACATGCCTGTAATCAGTCAAGCAAAACATCTTCACTGAGCATTTGTGATGCACACTAAGCTGTCCTGAGCGCCATGGCAAGTGCAAAGGTTGATACGGTTTCCGTTCCTGAGGATGTCACAATGTCGTGGACGTGTGAAAATTTAGCCGCGAGGACTATGTTTCAGATGAGTGTTTGGAAAATGCCGTGTGACTTTAGCAGAAGGAACTTCCTCTCTTTCTCTCTCTCTCCCTCTCTCTGTCTCTCTCTTTGCATTGTGGTGGTCAGTGAAAACTTTTTTAAAGAAACAGAGCCTGCCTCCTAAGTGGAAGATTAAATGAGATGATAATGCAGAGGAACGTAGCCAGTGTTTAGCAAATGTGAGCAGAAATAATAATAGCAATCCATCAAGTAATTGCTATTCCTTCCTATTTTTGATAGGTGGTGGCGGTAAGTTAAAACAGAGTGCAGGGCCAGGAGTGGGCAAACTTGAACTCTAGCATGGGCTCTGACTCCACCGGCCAGATAACCCTGAGCCACATCAGTGAACCCTTTTGGGCCTCAGTTTCTTTCCACATAGAATGGGAATGATTTTATCTGCCCAGTCTATTTCACAGGCTTATTGTGAAGATCCAGTGAAAGAATGTCAGCGAAAGTGTTTCACAAACCCTGGCAGGGTAATCGAAGTGTTTCCTGTTACCCTTTTAGGCTAGAAATATTTCACCGAAGCCACTGTCTTCTTGGCATCATGAAAGAGATAATATGCCCATAAACATGCTTTAAATGATATCAGAAGAGAAACGGACTGCCCTGGCAGGCCTGGCTCATATAATTTCGCATTTCTATGGCACTTAAATTTTACGAGTATTTTATTATCCCTATTATTAGTAAATCCTCCAAGAGTTTTGTCAGACAGGTTATTATTACAAGTCATATTTTACTGATAGAGAAGAAGGGGCATAGGGAGATGGAGAAGCTCTCCCAGGCTTACCGCTGGGGGCAAAGACAAGGGTCCTTCGTTCTGCAGTCCTAGCCCACAGACTGGCATGGCCGCTGCATTGTCGGGCTTCAGCGGTTTGTATCAACAACCAGACAGTCCTGGCGCCAGGGCCATCCACACGTCTCACAAACCCGCCAGTGGCTCTTTAGTAGTGTGGATGTGCTGTGATTTAGAAGAATCTCGAGTCCAAAGGCAGTGTCTTTCCTTGCCTCCGCCACCACCCGCCACCTCTCAGCCTCTTCGTTTGGATCGAACTAGTTGGCTCTTCAGAACTCGTTTCATCTTCCCTTACGTCTAGAAGCAGAGATGCAGAAGCGTAGATCTGCAAGAATTATAAAAGCCCAGAAGCGTTAGGAGGGATCGTCTGTTCTTTTGTTTTTATCGTTTCTTCTGTTCTGTCAGTCGTCTGTCATTCCCGTTATGAATTGGTGTGACTTTATCGTTAAATGATGAGCATATATAT